TTATAAGTATGATTTAAAAAATAAAGATCCACTGCCCGATTTTTATTTATGACTTTTATAAACAAAATTCTTCGTTAACTGTTATCTAAGACATATAATTTAAAAATCAAAAATAATTGTTATTTTGGATTTATAAAATAAAAGTCAGAAATAACGGTTATTTAAGGAGTAATTAAATAAAAATAAAAAAATAGTTGTTAAAGAGTGATTTGTTTAATAAAAGTTGTAACTGTTACGGTCCCTGCTTCAAAAATACCCTCAAAAGTATTTCTTTTAAATTACTTGTCACTTTTTGACCTAAAAACAGCATTTAATGAACCCCTAAAAAGTAAATAAATTGGTTTCAACTTGGACTTCTTGTTGTCCACAAACGCATATGGTTAAAGCTTTTTAAAAAGTTCAGAGCTTTTTATTCAAAAAATGATTTTTTCTTGAATTTTCTACCTCAAAGACTTTAGTATGCTGTTAAATTTATTTCACTAGCTCTTCTCGTTCTCGGCACTGTGCGCCACCTATCGGGTAAAATTTTTGGTGGTTCATGTAAGTAATATACGTTCTTAATATGAACCACTTCCGGCCATAAATGCGGGCTTTTCAAACATCTCGACTAGAGCTCTAGATACCCGGGTATCGAGCAATGCGAGTAGCTCGATACTCGCTCGAAACTCGTTCATTGCTCAACTGCTCAAATGTTTGTTCAAAATTTTCGACTTTTTGAACAATTTCATAAACAAAAGAAAATTTGTAAATTGTATTTGTCAGCAGCTGCTTTCTAATTCATGTTATATTATTAAATACTAATGTAACAATCTTTGCGTTATATATCAATAATTTGAAAAATTTAAAAGTTGCTACCAAAAATGTCAATATAATAAAAAAAGCATTGCTCAAATTACTCGAAAAAACTCGAATTGCTCGAGCTCATGCTCGAAAATTTTCGAGTAATGAGCATTGAACAAGTGTGCGAGTACTCGCTGCTCATATACCCGGGCTGTTTGAAAATGTGCGAACAAAATCGAGAGCTCTAATCTCGACACCTTTGCCAAATATCGAATTAATTCATTTTTCAAGTATCTAGGTAATCGGAGAGTTGGTTAAATATTGAGTGAAACTTAATAAAAGCTTTTAAAAATATATACGACAGCAGTTTGATAAGTCAGAGAGTATTACCCGCGTAGTAACTTTAAATATAACTACTACCATCTGATGAGCGCTTATGAGCAAACTGTTAAACGCTGACATTTTTTTTTGGTTTAATATTATCAAATAATTTTTTTTTTTTATTAATAAAATGATGTAGCTAGCAATGGTGATGATAGAATGAGACTGAAAAATAAGAATCAAGCGATAACGATTAAGAGCTTTTATCCCAGTGACGAGTTAACCCACTTTCGGCATTTAACTAAAGAGTTTTAGTACAAAAATTTAAAATTAACCGCCGAATGTTAGTTACTTATCCACTGTGAAAAGGGCCTAAGACATATTAAGTAACTGCAGCTATACGAAATCAATGGATGCCGATAGTAATATTAAAGATTATTAAGTTCTCCCCTCTAAATGGTAAATAAGGACATTGCACGAAAAATTTACACTTAGAAAAATATGATTTTCATTTCACAATTCCAAATTGTTCCAAAGATCGCCATATTCTGGCTTCATGCACAAAAAGTTAGATTAAGCCTCGACTCAATTTTTAGTAAAAATTCTTGAGCTTGAGCTCACTTTTTATGCATGAGGCCCACTGTCATGGGAGCCAAAAACTAATGGATGGCATTTTTACTCCACAGGTACGAATAAAGCACAAAGCGCTACAAAACATTGGCCGTTTCTGAATTTTTCACAAAAATGTGTTATGGAATGTACTGGACCGCTTAGAATACTGCAAAACATACTACTTACATATATAAATACTTAATAGTAAATGGTTGAAGGTTGTAATGGTAAAACATTTCCTCACTTATATGAAGTAACGTTAGTTTCCTTTTTTTGCAAAAAGTTGAATGTAATTAAACAGGAAAAAACAGATTGTACATAAATAGTGCATGAAGTGAATATGTATATGTACATAAGTATGTCATTGCATATATCGGAAGGAAATGAAACTTGTGTTTAGTTTACTTAAAACTAAGTAATTAATTTGGTAATCAAATAATTAAAGTGGTAAACTAGCGAAAATAGTCAAAGCTTTAAGCTCGCATAATTAAGAACTTTCATACGTATTAAACATAATGGAATAATTAGCATAAAAGCAACATACATATGTCCGTACATAGATACACGAAGTATGTGCATTAGGTTGGTCCAAAAATGCATGTGGAAAAAGTACACCGAAAAAATACATATACCCCTATTTTTTTTTGAAATCAAAAAATATTTAAAGGTAACTCAAAGCTCTCAAAGTTTTCCATGTATTTTATTTGCATGGGAAAAACAACTTTTCGTAAAAATGACCTAGAATTCTTGAAAATAAATATTCTATACCGTTTGTACGAAAAGTTGTTTTTTCCCCATATAAAATATATGGAAAACTTTGAGCGCTTGGAGGTCCTCTAAAAAATTTTTTCGATATAGAAAAATCCTAGAGGGTGAGAGCATTAAAATTCCAACTTTACCTATTTTGGACCACCTTAATGTACAGACTATATGCAGACTATATGCATACATAGTTAGCCGATAGCGAATTTTTGAAGTTTTTTTTTGTTGAAAGAACTTTTATTGGAAAAGTTAAACATTTTATAAACCTAAAAAACAAAAATGTCGAAAGCTCTGAAGAATAAAAAAAACCGTGCTTGGAGCTTTCAAGCAACAAAAAATTTTACTGAAGCTGGAATAGATGAAATGAAACCAAAAAATTGTAAGAATAAGAACAGTGACTCGAACAACCGTTCAAATGAAGATTTTTTTTAATATGCACAATATTTTTCAAGCCAATTTTTTTTTTATACATACACACATATATTGCTCATCCTATAACCAGAACCATATACATAAAGCAAAATTTCAATTTTAATTCAAAATTTAGAATATTTTTAAAAATTTTCATCAAATTTCCTTTTTCAAATTCAATCTGAAATTCTAGAAAATCTTCGACTACGCAGTTTAGTGTTCTATAAAGTTTTAATTTTGGTAAAGTGCAAGTTTCAAGCGTCTACTCAAGTAGCACACTTTAAAAATTTGGTACAAATCTGATAAGATTGTACCAAAAACCATAAATTTATACCAAGTTATACAACAGTGTGCTACTTGAGTAATTTTTAGTTTTTTTTTTTGCTGACGATTTCTTACACTTTTTTTCATATATCAAGGACCATTCACAAAAACAAGCATTTCAAAAAATCAGCGCCAGTTTTTATAAATTGCGCAAATTTTTAGTTGCTTCAAACATGCCACCTAAAGATTTTCCAAACATTCAGATCAAAAAGTGCCGCAATTTGTTGAATTTTCCTATTTTTTTTTTATAAAATTTTAAACTGTGATTTACATGCTTTTGGTTATACCATGAAAAAAATTTTACAAAATAATTTACCTGAAAAAAATTGTGAATATTACAAAAAAAAAACGTATGAAGGATTGCTTGAGTCACTGTATAGGTATAAATTACATAAATATAAAAAAGTAATTTTTAGCAAAATATACAAAATATATAAAAAATTACGATAATTGATAGCCTTCCTCCTTTTTTGAAGTCGGTAAAATAAATGGGCAAATAAAGTACTAAAAATTTATTTTACCCTTAATTTGTTGTAAACTAAATCTGTAAATATTATCAAACCACACGAAAAAACTTGTTTAACAAATTTATAAATATGTATGTATAATTGTTTTATTGCGAAAAATTGTACGTTTAACTGTATTATATGTACATATATGTACGTAGATATTCATTTTTCAAATTGAGCTACTAACTAATCCCAGCATTTATGATAGTTGATCAATTATACATATAAATGTAGAAATGATAAAACTGAAACAATTTCTAAAACACTTTCTAGTAAGTAGTATGTAAACTATACATATACCAAAATTAGCTACTTTCACATCCATACACATATGTACATATGTATATGTGCATGTGCAGAAAATATTCAAAATATTTTCACTTGATTTTTAAGTTTTTCTTAGCGAATTATATTGAGTTAAACTCAACTAGAAACTTGTTATATAGCAAAAACTTTAACTAGTAGCTATTAACTTAAGTCGCATACTAATTGAAAACAAAATATGAACGTAGCAAATAAAAAGGCCATTGTAAAAAAAAAACTTTTTTAATGGTAAATAATTAAATATCTAATTTATGTATATGCGAAATCATACTGTCATAAACATCACATAATCATGTGTGTATATACACTTAGATACGTACAAAAAACAGAGTTGTATACATATTTATGTACATATGTATGTATATAGAACGTTTGTTGAAGTACGAATCAATTTTGAATAAAAAATAATAAAATCAAATTAATGTTGTTTTATTTTAAATGATACTTAATATCTAATCTCTAATACAAACGGCCGGAATCAAAACGACGGGGATTTATGTATGTACATTAGGGTGGGTCAATTTTTTCGGACGAATGTTTTTCGGCAAACCGCGTAGTATTTTCGGTTTCTAATTCGGTAGATAATTCTATTCAAGAGAAAATGTACAAGAAACCAGAAGTCAGAAATGAGTTGCTAGCCTTTACATTTTTAAAAGAAACATTAACTTTTTCACAAACTATTATTTTTCCGTTCTAAATATGCTAGTTTTACAAATTGTTCACCTTTTGTTACAACTAATGGTTACAAAATGCTTATATTTAAGTTTATAAACTTTTTAATTGACTTACCATATTTAACATGCAAACACGGAGTGTCCGTGTCAAAATTATAAGCATTGAAAATTTTTAGCAATT